TAATATCTAGAGCTGAGGGGGTTGGGGAAAGGATGGAAAATACTGATAAAAATTACTGATAGTCTGACAATTTTTTTTCATGGGAGCTAAACGTGTTCTCTAAAGCCCTGTTAAGAAGCAAATCTCACTCTCACCCAGGCTGCAGTACAGGCGCAATCTTAGCTCACTGAAACCTCTGCCTCCCAGGTTCAAGTGATTCTCATGATTCTCATACCTCAGCCTCCAGAGTAACTTAGACTACAGGTGCGCACCACCATGCCCAGCTAATTTTTGTATTTTTAGTAGAGACGGTTTCACCATGTTGGCCAGGCTGGTCTTGAACTCCTGGCTTCAAGTGATCTGCCTGCCTCGGCCTCCCAAAGCTCTGGGATTACAGGTGTGAGCCACCACACCCAGCCTATTCAGGTCCTTTTGACTGTTCAAACTGCTCATCTAAGTCATCCGTGATAATTTCCAGAAGGGGGTGTCCCAGCCATCCGGCTCCCCTCCCATCTTACTGCGTAGCCCTCAGTCTGCTCACACTGAGTTCTACCCCAGCTCTCTCCTGTCTCCCACTTCCTCAGCTGTGTGCCCCCACCACTGACCCCTAGCTTTCTACACTGGAATCAAATGATCAGAGACAGTAATTTTCAAAGGTGCCAGGTCACAAGAAGTGAACCAGTCTTGGGTTCTATTCCCAGCTTGAGTACTACCTTGATTTCAATTTCCTCCTCTGCTAAATGATGAGGTTCCAGCCAGATGCTCCAAGGGGTCCCTTTCAACTCTAACACTCCCTAATTTAGCTCTGCTAGAACCTGCCCTCTCTCACCTGTGGGGAAACATGGGCTATTCTTCATGCCAAAAGGCCCTGGAGGCCAGGATTATTCAGTACAATGCCCCAGCCAGAGGCAGGAGAGAGAGGACACGTCTAGCCATTTGCTTGAAACAATTTCCCAGCATTCATTTTCCCCTTGCAATTTTCCCAACTTAATGCCAGTTAGTGACTTGTTGTGGCTACATGCTGTATGCCAGCTATCCTTACAGTACACATTTTTCCATCTGGCTCTGCCAGCCCGTCATCCCTCACATCCCCCACTTCAGCCTGTGAGTGTCAATGTCATGGCAGAAGTGAAAAGTCAGTCACTGAGGTGCAATTCCCTCAGAGGAAAGAAGCAAAGGCCCCCACTCCAGCTAGCACGCCTGTGTCCCCTTCCTGAGGAAGAGCTGAGCAGAGGCAGCTGAACTGCTTCCCCAGGTGAACTCAAGGTACACTATTTCCATGAGCTGTTCCTTTAAAAAGGTAGCAGTGTTCAGGTATAACCTTAAGAAGAATAAAAAAAAGGTAACAGTGGCAAAGCCTTCATGTAATATAGCCCCTCCTACAAGTTCCCTGGATTAGTGCATGAAGGCTCTGAGAAGTTCCTGCTTTAAAGAGATCTCGTTAGTTTTGTTTAACACACTGCCCTATCAGTGAGCTGCAGAAATACCTCTTCACGTTCCACAGGTGGGTGTTCCAAGTAACTAACGTACCTCTAGGCTTCCACTTGAAGCCTAGTGAGAGTGCTATAAGCATAAAGACGACTCTAATTGTCCCTTCCCAGCCCCAGTCCCTTTCCAGTCCTTCCACGGTTCTGTGCACCCTACAAGGCAATGCTAGAGCACGCCAGGCAGCGACTGGGAAGCAATCTAGGCCATAAGGCAGAGGCTGTGGGCTCAGAAGGGGGACTTGGGTATCTGTGCTGCTGCTGGTCAGAGTGATGAGGGTGTGCTGGTTTGTGTCCTGTAGGTGAAAGCTGGCCTGGGAGTCAACGTCATTGGACTGGTGATAGTAATGGTGGCCATCAACACCTGGGGAGTTAGCCTCTTCCACCTGGACAGTTACCCAGCATGGGCGAGGGTCAGTAACATCACTGATCAAGCCTAACGCAAGTGCACAAACTGGCCCAACCATAGAAGCCGCCAGTACCCAGCAGAATCTGGACCACAGGCAAAGAAAACCACCAGAACCACCAGAAGCACACAACCCCAGACCCACGCGGGAGGGCATCCCTCCACCAGACGATTCCATCACCTCAAGTGAACTGCAGGAATCCTCCATCAACCACAATACAGGCTTAGCTGTTAGTGTCTTCCCGCCCTCAGCACCACAGCTCAAGAAAACCTAAAGTTTCAATATAAGCCATAGGCTCACAGAAAAAAAATAAAAATTAAGTTAAAAAAAAAGAAGACAAAGAAAACCTAAAGTTGTATCTAGTCTTTGTAATCAATTCGTTATAAGACAGGAAAAGAAAGCCTGTCGTAGTTGCCCTTCAGAGGTTAAGCCTTGCAAACCTACTAGGTTTTATGTTATTCTTAATGCCTTCTTAGGAGTGGAAAGATACCCAAGTCATCCTACCAAGGCAGAGTGAAACCAGTGGCATCTCTTTAGGGGGAAAACCTCACCCAGAACTTGAAACCTAATGTCAGCTCCTTTCTCTTTTTTTTGAGACAGATTCTCGCTCTGTTGACCAGGCTGGAGTTCAGTGGCACCATCTCGGCTCACTGCAACCTCCACCTCCCAGGTTCAAGCAATTCTCCTGTCTCAGCCTCCTGAGTAGCTGGGATTACAGGCACCTGCCACCATGCCTGGCTAGCTTTTTGTATTTTTAGTAGAGACGAGGTTTCACCATGTTGGCCAGGCTGGTCGCAAACTCCTGACCTCAAGTGATCCACCCACCTCGGCCTCCCTAAGTACTGGGATTACAGGTGTGCGCTACTGCGCCCAGCTGTCAGCTCCTTTGTCTTAAATGCTTCTAAGTTCTCTCCATTCTCTCCGTTCTCTCCACAAGAAGGCATTCTTAGTAGGTCTTCTTCATGGCAATCAGTACTGTTTCATCACCACTTTGATTCCCTTTTAAGCATCTGTCTTCAATGGCTCCCCTTTACCTTGGCACCATATTCCCATAAAGATATATATAGTGTTCCCTTTCAGAAAGAGGCCGGTGTTGTTCTATTTGTCAAAGGAAAGGGAAGTCAAGAAAGAAGATACATTGAGATTAGCATCTCTCTCTCCACCTGTCACTAACTGCAAATACCACTGCCTTGGTTAAGTTTTGGGATGGAGGGAAAATTCCTGTCTCATAAAAGAGACCAAAACTATAATTAAGACCACAGCACTATTATTATATTAGACTGGCTTACTTCTGGATTTATGTTTTTGTTTTTTTGACACGAAGTCTTGCCCTGTCACCCAGGCTGGAGTGCAATGGCATGATCTCGGCTCACTGCAACCTCCGCCTCCTGGGTTTGAGTGATTCCCTTGCCTCAGCCACCTGAGTAGCTGGAATTACAGGCACACGCCACCATGCCCAGCTAATTTTTTGTATCTTTAGTAGAGACGGGGTTTCATCATGTTGGCCAGGCCGGTCTCAGACTCCTGATCTCGTGATCTGCCTGCCTCGGCCTCCCAAGTGTGTAAGGCACCGAGCCCAGCTGCTTCTGGATTTAATAAGTAGTTTGCTCCTGAGAAAACAAAGTACCACGTAGTAGCCAAAGGTCCAAACACATCTGTCACTTCCTACAAGTCCCTACATGAGCTCCTTGAGGGAAAAGAGATGTCTATGTCTCTTGAAATCCCCCAGCAACTTCTACAATATAGTAAGCTGTAAGTGCTCAATAAATGTGTCCCATGAGAAAAATCTGTCTGGAAATCAAGGCTTCTTTCTCTTCCTGAAGACCATGCCATTTCTCCATGATAGATACCTTGCTACATGTCTGGCTATACCTCTTAATCCCTCTAGTTTGTTGGCATTATGTATTTTTTATTTCTACCATCAGTTGCTTATTAAATACGTTTTATGGGAAAGGGAGTCCTCTACAATTACTGCACTGTTTTAAGTGATTTTAAGTTACTATTGACAGCACAGGCAGTTTTCCCACAATAATTTATCTATAAAATCACTCCCTTAGTTGATCAAGCATCCGTGAGTTGTAAAGTTTCTTTTGGAGCAAAAGAGTCAGGGTGTTACTCCTGTTATCACAGCAGCCAAACATCACATTTAGTTCCCATTACAGAACTCAGATCCTTTGCCCCCAAGGCAGACATTAGGACAAAGGTGTAGATAATCAGTAAGATTCTGGGAGTCTAAGAGAGAAAGAAAAGTTGATTTAGAATTAAGTGGACTTGGAATTACTGGCCAGTATTCAACTATGTGAGAACCTGACTCACTCCTGAAGGGAAAGCTGTGCCAACTTCCCAGCAGCAACTGCTGCCAGGTGCTCTGAGTAGTGAATGCATTCAACTAGCCAATTTAGAAAGAGCGTTTATCTCAGTCTGGTCTACTAACTGCTCTCAAGCACAGCACTGTTCTTTCCCAGACCTAGAGATTCAAGCCAGGCAAGGCTGCCCACTCCAGTGACAGGAAATGGCAGATATGATTAATAACTCCTTGTCATCTAAATCACTCCATTGTTGGATAATGTCTAGCCCTCCTTAATAGTCATTTGTCTCTTGCAAATATGTTATAATTTGATTTTATCTTCTAATATTTTATGTATATGAAAGTGTGAGCAAAAGTCACTAAGTACAGTTGCATCTTATTCTTGTCAATTCTCTATCAAATTTGCTTAGTCAGTTGCCTTTGAAATTCCATTAAATCGACATAAAGTACATGGTCTGTAATCTTCACATTAACATTTACACATTCCGAAGACTCATGTACCAACTTTCAATAAATAAAAAACAGCTAGTTTTCCTTCCATCATCAGAACAAATCTGTCTGTTCAGCTATACAACAAATGAGGTAGCTGGCTTCATATTTGGGGACTGCAGTGTTTGAAAAAAGTCTCCAAACACTAGAATCACTCTCAGTTCACCAAGAAACTCAAAAAAGGAAACCGAGACCGTCTGAGTACACAGGTAGCTCAGTAGGGCTGTCCTCACTGAATGAACACTGAACACATTGCATGTACTGTTTATGTGGCGGCACCTTTTTTGGTCCCAGTCCTGTACAACTGTGTAAGATGATGTAGCTGCACTGTACCTTTCATAAGATCCTCCCACCGAGGCTGTGATTCAGGCAGGCCCAGGACTCATGGTTTGCAACATTCCACCCTGGGAATTTCCACAAGGTCTCACTGTTCTTAGTTCATTTTTCTTTCGCTGTGCCTTGCAAAACATGCCATACGTTAGGTCTTCAATACTTGACTGAATACACTGCAATCAGATTTGGGAAAGGTATAAACTGAACACTTGAAAATCTAAGTGTCACAAGCTCCCTATTAAGACCAGGCAAGATCTCTAAATATTTTCCCTTCACCACCCTATTCCTTTCAGCAAGGCAAGGCCCTCATAGTCAACAGAGGAAAAAGAACTCATTCATCTACAAGGAGTAGAAATGCTACATGCAAAACCCAAGACTGAAAGTTTAAGAAAAGACTCATTTGCTCCAGTACGGTATATAATGTTCCTTCAGGAGGAATAACTCAGAAAAGGCAGTAAAAACATGGGAGACCTCAGCAGAAAAACAAACACTAGCATAGTATCTAGGGAGCAAACAGCTTAGTGGAAATGAAAACATTACACATGTGTACATATGCTCTATGAGCCAACATGTATAGACAACCAGAAAAACCACACAGCCTACTTTTCTCTATAGTCACACAAACTCATTGAGTAAATGAGTAGAAAAGAGAAATAATAAAATTACTCCTTTAAATCAGAACCAGGTAACTGCTTAATAACATAAAATACCAAATCAGAAGAAAGGTCTAAAGATGTAATTTTGGTAACTTCAATTTATAAAATTCAGCCTGTTTCACAATTTTTAAAATGTTTTTTCCTCTTGCTTTGTTTTTGTTTTGTTTGGGAGGATTACAGTTTAGGGATAAACTTTTCAAGTTCAATGTATTTATTAAGTTTCCTGAAGTCTTCAGCACTGATCCTGAAGTCTTGTATTTCACACATCAGAGTAATCTGCACTAGTATTTTGAGCAACTCTCATTTTATGGTCAAATGTCGCGGAAGTTTTCCTAACCATATTAGTAGGAGCTTTCAAACATTTTTCAAAGAAAAAAAAAGGCATGTCTTGTGGTGCTTCTTCCCACCACTCCACTGATCTGTGTGGCAAGGGTTCCTACAAAAATCACAGGGAAGGGGTAACTTTCAGTACCACAAACCCCATTCACAGTAGGGATTTTCAACTACACCCTCAAATCTATGATGGTTCTGGGTTCGTCCAACATATATCTCAGGGAAGATCATCTTGCCTGAGAGCTTGAGGTCCTTTTCGCTGCTGCCAAGAACATAAAACTAGGAGAGGGGATCTGAATGGTGAATGTTAAGTCAGCCTGTGTGTACCGTGTAGCCATTTACATGGTGAAGCTGAACTTAAGAACTGACCTGCTAGATGGCTCCCACTGGTAGAAATGATCCCCTCCGCAAGGTTAAGTGTTACCCCTAAGGGAAGCTCTAAGTACAAATAAGCCTTGTTTACAAGATATAATATAAAGGGACCTAACCTTCTAACAGCTAAGTGACCTCCAACCCCAAAGCAGTCACTCTGGGAAACCACACACGCCATAGTAATGCTATCATAGTTGGTAACAAGGAATCCCTCTTGGGAAACAGCTTTCTAAGCTCCTTTTTAATACCCACAAGGTAATCTTCATCCTTTGAGGCTCTAGTTCATTCGGCTAACAATTCAAGATCACACCTTGTGAGCCAGATGGTATTATCCAGGTGGATACTGTAAATTTTCATCAGTATCAAAAACAGTGATCACAGAATAATGACAAATGTTTTGTGTGGTTCATAAGCTGATTCAAACGTGACTGCAGAACTAGCCAAAAAGCAACACGTTTGTACTAATAGCTACTATTTATTAGTCTGCAAAGCACTGTGCAACATTACATACATTATCTCAATTATTTCTCATGAAAACTCCATGAGGTATTTACATCCACATCTACAAATAATGCAAATGTTTCTGAAAGAATAAGCTACAAACCCCTGTGACGCGCAATTTACCTATTAAATGAATCTAAAATAAAAGTTTAAAAAAGCCAGGCACAGTGGCTCATGCCTATAATCCCAGCACTTTAGGAGGCTGAAGTGAGCAGATCACTTGAGGCCAGGAGTTCAAGACCAGCTTGGCCAACATAGTGAAACCTCAGTTCTACTAAAAATACAAAAATTAGCCAGGCGTGGTGGTGAACACCTGTAATCCAAGCTACCTGGGGGGCTGTGGCACAAGAATCACTTGAACCCAGGAGGCAGTGGTTGCAGTGAACTGAGACTGTGCCACTGCACTCCAGCCTGGGCAACAGAGTGAGACTCTGTATCAAAAAAAAAAAGTTCAAAAAAAAAAAAAAAGAACAGTCACTTGCCTGTGATCACACTGCTAGGGAAAAGTCAAACAATAATTTAATCCTAATCTGTCTCACATATAAGGACAATCTTGACAGGAATAAAGCTTACTTCCATGTAGGAGAGATTCAAGTTTTCAAGGAAGCAGAATCACCTTAACACATACAGAATCGGGGTCATCGCTGTCTGAAAAAAAGATGCTTTAAATAATTCTTCCAGTTTACTGATGCTGAACCTGCCATGTCTTCAAAAATGGCATTATTAGTGAAGCTGCTCAAGAAGCCCTCTGAAAAAAAACACCTAGTGAAATGGGTACTTATCTATATTTGGTGTAAATTATACTTTCAGGACTTTATCTTATAGCTATACCCAGAATCAGTATGTCTAATAACATTAGGATTGAGGTTATCACTGTAATAGCAAAAGAACCACCCAAGAAAATCAATTGTTATGTCTATTCAAAAGAATCGTATGCAGCCAAAAAAAGAATGAGGTTCCTTGCTACTTACATGCTAATATAGAATTCACTCCATTTAAAAAAAAAGGCAAGGAGCAGACCTATATGTATAGTTACTATTTGTGTTACACGTGTTTGTTTAGGTACAGACTCTTTCTCAATAAGGCAAAGTGGTAACAGTAGCTTGCCAAAGAGGAGCCAGGAGCCAGAGAACAGGGGTGGGAGAGGCCCTTCATATGAAATTACTTTTGTGTCTTGTCCCATGGGAAAAATTGATTATTTAAAAGTTTTTTAATTTAAAAAATATAAGAGCTGATTATACATTTGACAAATACAGGGAAATTCTGATTGCAGGAAAAAACAAAGCATCAATTACAATGAGAAGCAGAAATTCTTGAGCCACTGATTTTACTATACATTTGGGCTACATTTTTTCTTAAGAGAATCACTACAAAGTAATAATATAAATACCTTTTTTAATGTGAAAAGGTATAAAATCTCCTTTAATAACTTTTCACTTATCCATCATATAATATCAAATATACCTGTAATCCCAAGTATGATCCTTTTGAGAAGGAAAAAAGTCAGATCAAATACATCATTAAGGAAAAACATGCACACTAAACAGGCTGAACGCTACTGGGACAAAGACCATTATTTTGCATATTTTTTCATTCCCCAATTTCTGACAGGATTCTCAGAATTGTTTCTTAGTTACTGAATAGCAAATTGATTTATTGGTTAAATTAGCAACTATGGAGCTGCCTAACAGTACAAAATAAATGAATAATTCACCAGAAACTAGCTCTAAGATATTAATTTTAATTACTTTGTAGCAACATAATTTTGTATCAAACGTTTAACAAGTACCCATTATAACTGCTAAACTGTGAAGTCACTATTATTTGTATCTGACCAGCTACACAAAACTCATCAGTTTTTCTCTTGACAAAAGGTAATAAAAATAGCAAACAATAAAGAAGACACTACTCATTAAATGTCATGTTTACTAATCTAGCACCATAATTCCAGTCTTAGGACCTCCCGTGCAGTTGGAAAGGGAACACCGGAAGAGGTGGGTATGTTGGAAATCTAGGGTAGTTCTCAAATTGGGGCCCCATTTTGCTTGCAAAAAACACAGGGTCTAGCAAAGAAGAGGAACACTGAGGCTGAAGATGAAAACAAAGGCTTTTGGTTCAGATGGTAAAGGAGGCCCTCAAGAGCAGTAGCATCAGTGTATCCCGAAGGCAGTGCTGGAGGCAGCCTCATGAACTAGGGGGTTTCTTCTTGGCATCCAAGTCCTTTTTAATTTCTTCAAGTTTTTTAGCCAGGTTTGGTATCTTTAAAGAGAAAAAAGATTATTACAATTTTGCATCTACCTAATCAATATTCTTTTACTTCTCTTCCTCCAAAGATAAATGATTTTACAAGCTTTTATCTTCCTCTGAAAGAGATCTGCTAAATAGTGGTCATTTCTTTTTGCGTTTTTTTTGTTTTTTTTGTTTTTTTTTTCAGATAGGGTCTCACGCTGTCACTCAGGCTGGAGTGCAATGGTGCAAACACAGCTCACTGTAGCCTTGACCTCCAGAGCTCAAGCAATCCTTCCTGCCTCAGTCCCACAAGCAACTGGGACCACAGACATGCCACAACACCTGGCTAATTTTTGTATTTTTTGTAAAGACGGGCTTTCGCCATGTTGCCCAGGCTGGTCTGAAACTCCTGAGCTCAGGCAATCCGCCCCCCTCAGCCTCCCAAAGTGCTAGGATTACTGGCATGAGCCACTGCACCCCACCAACAGTGGTATTTTTTGGCTTCATAATTGCATATGAGAGATATCAGAAGTTGTCAGATAAGTATGCTTCTTCTCTGAAAGCCACTTCTACTTTTGTATACCCACTTAACTGCTCGATCTGGTGCCAAGTAAAGGTTGTACATATAAACAATAAATGTGACATAATAAAGCCCCTGCCTAGAAAACCAGGTGACTCAAAAGAAGGTTGACAAAAGGAATTCCCTTTGTCATACTAAAAGCTTTACTACAAAATAAATCAAGTTAATATCACGTTTCCCTTGCTTGTCTTTTTCAAACACCTGTCCAGGATCTCCATTCATAGGCAGCTGCACCACCTGGTTTTCAACATCACCCTCTATAAAGTAAGGTTAACACAACTTCACAAAACTCTGTCCTCAAATGTACTACACTTAGAATTTTTGAGATGGAACATAGATCTACATTTTTTAGTCCTCCTACCCATATGTATCTCCAAAATTCTAAGTCATCTCTACTACTGGGTAGTGGGGCTGAAAAGATTATCCAATTAATCTTTAAATTCTCACTTATCACATGATTCCAAAAAAAATTTTAAGAGCCCAACTTAATATTACTCTGGGCTACTAAGCCACAGCTGAGGATCACCATGAGGCCAGCCACACCGAAGGGATTTTGCCCTCTTGTGGTGACACAGAAGACAGATGGTTCATGAGTTGGATTACTTTTTCAAACAATGGCAAACCACTCTACAACATTCAGGAATTTTCCTCAGCCCTATGGACTTCATTAATGCTAGAAGGCACACCTTACCTCAAACAAAGAAAAGTCACTCTAAAACAGTTACATGGAATCAGGGAGGTCATAGACACGGCCACTTACGTCATAGTTCTGAGCCAGATACATTCCAACCACGTTGCCCAAAGTAAATCCAAGCTGAAAAATAGAACAGGAAGAGTTACAGTGCATATCGAGTCCTGTGCCAGTCTGATTCCAAACTAAAACACATAGACAGTATCTTCCTAAGAAGCTTAGGACAGTTAGAAGACCTTGGTGTCCAGTATAGCACTGTGTACAACATGAGATTCACATTTTTCTTCTATAAACACAGAGATGCCCTCTGAAGTGGCTAACGAGCATACAAAAAAATAAATGGTGACACCAATCAAACATAAGAAGGAAAATAAAACAACAAAAAAGAATAAAAGGTAACACTGTATAAATCTACCCTGAATTCTCTTATCCCCACACAACCCACATAAATACTTGACTACAAGTTCTGGAAACTCAAGCTGAAATTCAGATTTTTCTTGTTGAATGCTGCAATTCTTTTGTCCTTTTTTGGTTATGGCTATTGTTATTTCTTTTCACATCAAATAAAAATTACTTGGTTTTTAAAGTATTCAGTGGGGGCCGCGCACGGAGGCTCACACCTATAATCCCAGCACTTTGGGCGGCCAAAGTGGTCGATCAGTTGAGGTCAGGAGTTTGAGATCAGCCTGGCCAACATGGTGAAACAAAAATTAGCTGGGAGTGGTGGCTCACACCTGTAACCCCAGCTACTCGGGAGGCTGAGGCAGGAGAATCGCTTGAAACCAGGAGGCGGACGTTGCAGTGAGCTGAGATCGTGCCACTGAACTCCAGCCTGGGAGACAGAGCGAGACTCCGTCTCTAAATAAATAAATAAATAAATATTCAGTCAATTCACAGGATCTTAGAAAATGAAGGGACTCTCACAGTTTACAAGCTCTTCATAGTTCAAAAGAGGGACTTGCCCAGGATGGAAAGGGACTTGTCCAAGGTCATTCCCAACAAGGAGCACAGGACAATCTACATTAGCTTCAAACTCAAAAACTAAAATATGTGATGACAGAGATGAAGAGAAAATGCTGACACACCACTGAGAGCACATATGGCTTAGCACTCTGCCACGGGTACAGTCTGACAGGCAGGACATTTAAGATCGGTGGGAAACACAGCCCTAACTCAGTGACAAGAGAGAGGCACCATTTTTAGAAAACTTTAAATATTTATCCCAATTGGTGACTGTTTTCCTAAACAAAAATTGGTTCATGAAAATTTAGATATACTCAAAAGGGCCAAGGCTCCTCAGCTTTGAGTTTTAATGATGATAATTCCCTGTTTTCCCCTGGTAATTAAGAGCCTCCATCTGGAGCTTAATTTCTCATTTTATAAATTCAGACTAGCATCTATTTTTTTCATCATTTTCTTTAATCAGCGTTGCTTTTATTCAATCAATAAGCAACAGAGAGGTTTAAAAAAAAAAAATAAAGTGCGGCACTTAACACCATCAATCACACATGGCATGGTTAACCTTATCTTCAAGTTGGAGAGGCACATAGGGGAACAGAATGCAGCAGCTGGGTCCTTAGTATGCTTTAAACTTACTAAGCTTGAAACACTAATAGCATAATTTAAATTGGTTTGTTGTTAGCAATAAGAAACACAAAACAGCTGGGCATGGTGGCTCACGTCTGTAATCCCAGCACTTTGGGAGGCCAAGGCTGGTGGATCACAAGGTCAGGAGTTTGAGACCAGCCTGGCCAAAATGGGGAAACCCTGTCTCTACTAAAAATACAAAAATTAGCCAGGTATGGTTGGGGGGAGCGCCTGTAATCCCAGCTACTAGGGAGGCTGAGGCAGGAGAATTGCTTGAACTTAGGAGGCAGAAGTTGCAGTAAGCCAAGATTGCACCACTGCACTCCAGCCTGGGTCACAGAGCAAGACTCTGTCCCAGGGGAAAATAAAATAAAAGCTACTGATAGACTATTCTGATCATTTGATTAATCAGATATGGCCTATAAAATCCTACTTTTACTAATGTGGCACCTTGAAGCAGAATAATTTTTTTCTCCTATGGGTTGAAACTAGGTAGGAAGAGGTTTTCCGAATTCATGAGCATTATTTACTTAAGAGGAAAAAAAATCAAATGAAAGTATTAGCTCTAACACCAAAAAGAAAAACCATGGGATTTTAAAACTTTCAAGAAAAATAATTGAGTTCTGGTTCCACCACTATTAAGTGGTGTGTCTAAAGCAAGACACTTTACCTCTCTGGAACTTTGCTGATTTGAGCTTCTTGATTTATAAAACACTATACTAACACAGTAATGTCCAGCTCCAACATTCTAAGATCCCTAGTTCTTACCATACATGTCTCTAAATAAATGTGGCATATCTAATGTGGCTTCATTTTGGCAACTTTGCCAGGCATCAGGGCACGAAAAACTCGTGATTATTTTAAAACACACCACAAAACAAAAACCATGAGCCTGTAAACAAGTCATATCCAATTCCAGTTTCAGAATACTACCAAATCTTCCAATGGGGTATTGTAAGATTAAATATACAAGAAAAATATCACTAAAAGAAATGTTGGGAAAAATGTATGAAGCCAGAAAAGTGCATAGAGTATGTTGCTCATGGGATGGTCAATAGGCAAGTTTAAACAAAAAAATAAAACCTAAATCTAAGGAACAGTGACTCAGTCTGAGGGGTTAGACTGGAGTCAGATTATAGGAGGTCTTGGATGAGTCTGAAACCTCTTTGCAGGCCAAGAATGCCTAACTTCTTCCAGGCCAAGACCTGGAAACCTCATCAGTAACTCTGTAAGCTGAATGCCATCACAATGTCCTGCTTCCCCCACATCACATGGTCACCCCTTAGTATTCCCTGCAGAGAAGACTATGGTTTAAGGAGTGCAATGCTTTCTTCCCAAGATCAACTCTAAGTACACTGCTATCACACCTTCTCTGCAATAACTTTGGGACTTTAACGGTATGAAAAAGTAGCTTCTTTTCTCAGGCACATTGGGGACAGTTAATGGTAAAACACTGCAACTTTGGGAATAAAGGACTGACATGAGGAAAGTAGCGTACAGGAAAAATAAATGGGAAGAAGATGCTGGAGCTAAGAGCCCCAAAAGAGAACTCTAGACTGGCACAGAGCAGTACACAACAGAAGAATCACATTTTCAGCTCTATAAACAGAGTACGCTAAGAATCAGTGAAGCTTCACAATCCATTATCCACAATTCCGAAACCCAACTCAACCCAAACTACATTTCATCATAACTCATTTGGTAGCAAGAGCATACCTGACCTGAACTAACAGGAGACTATAGCCTTTATCACACTTTAGTGAGAATAATCATTTTTTGCTATAGAAATAGAAATATTTAAATACAAGATCCTGCCTTAGACCCCCACTGGAAAATATGTCTCACAGCAAAAAATTAGTACATTTGATTACAAAGTGCTATTCCAGATGTTGCTGGGGGTGTTAAGTACCAAGGTACATGATGCAGCTTATTGCTTTTCCAAAATCTAAAAGAAATCTGATTTCCCAAACACATCTGACCCCCAAAGATTCTGATTAAGGGACTGCAGACCTTTAGACACTAAAAATCAGCTTCATATTTAGCCCCATGAGAGGATTAAAATGATCTCTGCCCTTAGAGAACTTAAATGATAAATAGGAAGAAATGGTAGGTAAAATAGTTATATAACAGAAGGCAGGACCCTGCACAGGATTTTCAATGTTAGACGCAGACGCTCCAAAAATCAGAATTAGGCCATCCATTAAGTGGCAAAATGGACGATGCAGAAGTGATTCTTTTAAGAAATCATACTTGAAAGATAATGTACCTCAGGTTGATATTAAAGCCTCTAAAATGCTAAGTGTTTACATTTAAACTGGTGATATGGTTTGGCTGTGTCCCCACCCAAATCTCATCTTGAATTCACACGTGTTATCGGAGGGACCCAGTGGGATATAATTGATTCGGAGGGACAGGTCTTCCCCATGCTGTTCTTGTGATAGTGAATAAGTTTCATGAGATTTGATGGTTTTATAAAGAGGAGTTCCCTAGCACAAGCTCTCTCTCTGCCTCCCACCATCCATTTAAGATGTGACTTGCTCCTCCTTGCCATGATTGTGAAGCCTCCTCATCCATGTGGAACTATAAGTCTATTAAACCCTTTTTTCCTGTATAAATTACCCAGTCTTGAGTATGTCTTTATCAGCAGTGTGAAAATGGACTAATACAACTGGCAAAAAAAAAAAAAAAAAAAGCAAAGAAATCTGAATGTGGAAATCAAGGCACAAGATGGGAATGAAGATGCGATAACTGGAATAAAAGAAACGGGCCTGACTGGAAAAGAGAATGTGAGTTAAAGAATGGAGAGAATTAAGTATGGAGAGCCAGGCAGGACTAGCTGATGTGCTTCAAAAAGCAGGCAAGGCAGCCAGGCACAATGGCTACATTTGTAATCCCAGCACTTTGTGGTGGCATACACCTATAGTACCAGCTACTCAGGAGGCTAAGGTGGGAGGATCACTTGAGCCCAGGAGGTAGACTTTACAGTAAGCTGAGATCATGCCACTGCACTCCAGCCTGGGTGAGAGAGGCAGGGGAGTTTCCTTCATATGCAATTATGGTAGGGAGCCACTGACTACTGTTTGCCCACAGCAACATGATGAAAGCACTGCCTTACAAGCATTCTCCTGGCAGCTATACTCAGAAAAGGCTAAGGAAGCAAGGATCTATTAGATGATGAAAAGATGTAGGAATAAAAAAAAGTAATTTTTTTCTTTTTAAGAAAACCCAGTACCTATTAAAGAAGAGTCGATTACTGTGGTGGCATAGGAGAGAGCAAGCAAACATGAGTGAATTGTTTCTACTGATCAATGAACATCAATGGAATAGAGTGGAGAGTCCAGGAATAAACTGTAAAGGCTTATGGTCAAGTGATTTTCAACAAGAGCAAGAGTGCCAAGATGTTCAATATAGTTAGAATAGTTTTTTCAAGAAATGGTGCTGGGAATAATCTTTTCAAGAAATGGTGCTGGGACAATGGGATATCCACATGCAAAGAATAAAGTTGAACCCCTACCTCACACTATATACAAAAATTA